AAATATATACATAAATATTGTACTTTTCAATTTAGCAGACTAGAGATTCGAGTACACCATGTCAAGATTATTTTTACTCTTTAAAGAACGTATCGTTTTGTGCATTCTACCCGGAAGATAACCGATACATGGGATTCGTAACTAAACATCCGACATGTCAGAGGTTTGCGTGCCACGTGTTTAAAGCAAACGAATCGTCGAGGCCAGTGGCGGAAGCGATCGGGTAAAGGATTTCACGCGTATTTTATTCGTTCAGAAATAATACAAATATAACATCGTATTCGTTTTCTTAGACGTGCTTTCCAAAGATTCTATCAGAAATACATAGAGACAGCGTATCCAGTGGAAGACATATACATCGAGTGAACGGAAGAAATCCATGATCGTCGTCGCAACATAATATTATTATATTAGGGACTCTGTGATATGTTTGAAGACGGACAGAACCGTTTGAAAATTATGAGCGATAAAAAGGAATGTTAGATATTGTGGTGCATTAGCGTTCTAATGCAACAAATTTAACATGTGATAACATACCAAATATCTAATGCATTTCATTTATAACTAGATCAGTATTATTTATTTTGCTCCTTGTTAATTTTCCCAAATACGACTACACTTAATATTATATTATAGCCTTCACAAGTTCTAAACAATCTAAAAAGAAATAAGGATAATATATTATATTGTATTTGAATGATTATTATGTTTTTATGAATTCACTTGTTAATATTGAATGTCTGAATGGAATACTACCTAGCTTTAAATACAAATCAAAATATAATTTTGTTTATAAAGTTTTGAGTTTTCAGTCATTAATTTTAAAAATTAATAACATATGCCTAATGTATGTATTAGGAATTTGTCAAATATTGCATAAAGCACTTGTTCATGCTGTATTGCAACTAAGTAGTTACATTATAATTTTGTGGTCCGAGTGCAAACCAGAAATATGAAAATTTTAATGGCGGCTAGATAACCAAAAAGATTCTTATCGTTTAACTATAGGTAGGTAGGTAAAAAAGAATATAAWTGAAATATATATACACAAGATAAGGCATTGTAACCTATGCAATGGTTGTTTTCATGGTGATGGGAATGAGCAAATTTATGATATCCTATAATTAGTATTACTGAATATAGTATGCACATCACTTGTATACATTAAATATTCTAAATATATGAGGTATTATTGTATCTATTACAAAGTATAAGCCGATGTTTAAGCAAATTCTTTTAAATTGTTTGTAACAGTGTTACATTAAACTAAGTTAAATATATTTACAATATAATAAAATATTCATAACAAAAGGATATACTTACTAATATAAGACAATAGCCTAATAATTAAATAATTGACAGCGGGAATTAAARAAAAGTACACATAATATATTATTTAGAACTTTTTTTTGTAAAATAAGGATGTACACAGTTAATTAAAGTTTAATACAAAACTTGAATATTAAAATAGGGTCAAAATGAGTTAATATCACAGAATTTCTTCACCAACTCATACAATAAGATTGTATAACAAGTTTATTCATTATTGTATTATTTTCTTTCCGGTCTCATTTGACTTCTAGGTCCGCTTTTTCCATTGTTACCTTTGAATGTATTTGGTTTCATATTTTGTTTTCCAACTCCTGTCCGTCTTGCATTGCTTATTGTATTTCCATTGGCTCCTGGAAGTGGTTGTGGTGGAGGTGCATTTAGATTTACTTCACTCATATTGATAGATTCATTGAATGTCATGATAAAATCACCGATTTTTTCAATTTCACCATTTTTACCAACATACAGTGTAAGACAATTTCTAAAGTAAATTGCATAAGCTCTGTGAACACGTATTATATCACCTGGATATAAGAATGAACCAGGTTCATCCCAAACAGAAAAATTTATGCATGCTGAACTATCAGCTACTTTCACTGTTCGAACTTCGTGGTTATCTTTAAGTTGTACAGCAGGATTTACTTCTAATACTATGCACATAACAGTTATGTTGTTTACATTATTATGAATATCTTTAATCAGTGTCAAAGGAGTATCTGGATTAATAGGTTTTGGTTTACTAATACTCATCATTTTTAAACAGATAATTTTTTTTTAAACTAACTTTTAAATTACTTCTAGGCTATTAATAAGCTAGGTGATACCTAATTAGTTATTAGGTATGTTGTGTCTGAAACAATTAAAAACAAAACAAAACAATTAAAATTAGAACTAAAGAAAAAAACTTTTTAACTTCACTTTAAATTAAATTCAAAGGTAAATATGACAATTTAAATTATAAGAAAATAACAACTTCACTACATATGTAAAAAAACTTTATGATTATATACACACACTTTATTAATAAGTATAGAATATGAAAGTATCATTTAGGTTTWAGTGTTACTTAATWAAGTTTTTTTTATTACATTTAACTTATATCGGATTTATAATATTATGCTTTTACTTATTGAGTTTTTCCTTCATAATATTATATCTTTGGGTATTGGATTTTTAAATTTAATTCTATATGCTGCAAAACTATTGATTATAAAAGTGTTAAACCATCACTATATAGTAAAGGAATGTGTGTAATGTATGGGTAGTTTTATGATGGTGTTTTAGTAAAATATTTTTAAAACATCACTGAGATGATTGTTGTAGTGAGTTATTTGTGGGTTGCTTTTTGGGATCTAATCAGCTTGTACTTCGCGGAAGAATGCAAAAGCAGTTCCCGCGGCATCGTCAGTTAAAAATGAAAAAAA